TTTTTCAAACTCTCGCAGGACAAATAGACAACAAGTCATTAAATAGACTTGAAGTTTAGAAGTGTGATTGATGTTTTACACAGTTATATATTTATTCATTTCCATAATCGAATTCCAGGCTCAACGTAAACCACTGCGCTGACAGTGTATCATTAACTAATGCACACACAATATTACTATCAAGAAGTAAACATTATCTATGCTTACCATACATTAATTAGCAAACAACATTATAACATAATTATCAGCAGCGGGGGTCTAATACATACTTAGTACATTTCCCTGCACGAGCAAAATATGGCTTATGCAGTATATTTATCAATAAGGGCAACTGATAATAGAACAAAGTTGCTTGTTACAAATGTATAGAAGCATTGTAATATAGTATTCGATAACCTATCCCCTCCTCAGACCAAACTCAAGCTAAGGGCTAACTGAGCTCAACAGCTAACCAAAGCTCAGTCAGTGTTGCAATGGGGGGCTTCCCTTCCCCCCCCCCCTGCCCCTCCCCACTCACCCCTCCCATTTACAAATGTATAGAAGCATTGCTTAATTCGCATAGTTTGCGATCTGAACAGACGTATGGAAAATCCGCGCGCCTTTGTCTCCCCCCCCTTAAAGAGTACAATACTCAAACCCACCTCGTCTGTATGTGTTTTTTTCTTTCGCTGCGCAAATAAACTTGCTCACATGGCGAAGGAAAAGCTTGTATAGTAGTTGCGTGTCTTAGATACATGTCTCAGTGAAACTTCATGCTCCATACGGAACGGCACAGGGCTTTGTTATTTGATTTTTCAATAGGCAAGTAGGTGACCAGCGTTTTGGTTCTGCGTCCTATTTTAAAAGCTCTCGGTCGTATAATAATTTGCGATGTTTACTATAAATCTTAATTTATTCTTATCATTATATAAATAACTACACGTACGTTCGTTAAATCGACAAAAACGGTGCTCTAATATGCCCGAGCGATTGCACATAATTGAAATTAATGTTGTATGTAATGTCAGTTATTTATCGGCTATATTCCTCAATAACTAGATATTTGTGGCAAGACATGAATTGAAAGTAATTGAACCGTGGTATTGAACGTGCTAATTGTTTCACTTTCGTCACACATAACGTAACCCGTATCAAGCTGGGACTTGGCTTTTTTTGGCACAAAATTTAATTATTTACTCTTAAATCAGTGACACTTTTCCATATTTAGACATTTTTTATAATAACTACATACATCATAATATATATCTACATAAAATCTAGAACACATACTAGGCGCCCGTACCTAAATATGGGTACATTGAATTGCGGCCTTATTGCTAACGTAAAATCCCTTCCAGGGAACGGAACAGAAACGATATTTCTTTTTATAAGAAGCAAAGATGTGCAGGAAGTCCGATAAACATTTTTATGTATAGAATTTACAATATTCCTAACCAACAAAATAATAATAATAATTAAAAATGTATAAATAGAAAACTAAAATAAATTTAATAAGTTAGGCCCCTGTGGCATTCAAATGCAGCATTTCAAATGTCAATATTTCATCAGCAGTTCACCTCTCAATCCTACACTGCGTGCGATGAATAACGGCTTTCAACGGTGGACTTTCTTTTCTATGTTTCTATTCAGTACCCGCTCGTACGGTGCGGAAAACATTTTGTGGAATCGGTATGACGGTATGTGTAAGGCTGTAGGACAACCTACTTGTCTAAGAAAAAAAATCATCATCTAACAGGATCAAAAGACGGCGGCTTTTTTTCAATATTTTATTTTAACTAAAAATAAAACAGTGCAATTGCGATTCCGACTTTAATGTACTTTGTACTGCGCGATTCCAGGGTTGCGATATTTTTATAAAAAACTGTTATACTCGGTATCGCTATTGGAGTTACAGAGTACCGACGCTGGCCTGGAAATCATAAATCAATCTGTTGATGCCTCAAGAGTCTTGAAATCATAATCTATATTTATGCAAAATTGAAGACGCCATCAAAACAGACATCCATGGCATGCGATAAGATCCACAACTTGTAATTCAAGTTCTCACTGGGTAGTTAAAAAATTTGTCAATTTCAATTTTACTGTCCATCTGCTGAATTCGGAATATATAATTCTGGAAGTGCTATAAGTGATTTCAACCGAAACGCCCAACCTTATTTATTTGAAATTATTCTCACTGAAATAATTTGAATAATTCAACTTCTATTAGATTTCAAAAACTTTAAGTTTGTTGAAGCGTATTAAATTGAAGTTCAACATTTACGAGAATCATGATAACAAATGATGAGCAAAGAATTCATTTCACCATTAAGTACTTGCTATTTATAAACCACGTACTGTATGGAATGTAGTAATATTTAATAGTATTATTAAAAGGTTTCCTCAAGATACTTTCCTTCGTGCCAGAATTAGACACACAGAATTAGGTGCACAGCCGGAGATCAAACCTTAAGGATGAGAGTCGCACTAAAGCCATAAGGCCAACATTGCTTTAACATTTAGCCACTGTGAAATCTGAATCTAAAAATATTTTTGTAATAATATAAGCAACTTATATAAATTAATGCAAATGTTCAATCTTATTTTTAAACGGAATTATAAAAGAGCAAACATAGTTTAAATTTCATCGTTAAACATTCCACAGAGTAAAATAAAAGTTGTCTGTGGTCTATTGTCTTCAATAATATTAAAATTTAGAATATTCAAATATCAGAGTTTCTCCATAAAGTCCGTAGACACAAGTAATTTAAACTTTTGCAATCTCAGCTTTATTCTCAGCAAATTTCGCGGCTATCATGCTCGACTTGTTCAATAAAAGTAATTCACCAGGATCATTTACATCACTTGCGATCGAATTTATTTAAAAATAGGTATTGAATAAAACTGAGCAGTGTTGGTCTAGTGTCTTCAGCGTGCGACTCTCAAATCTGAGGTCGCAGGTTGGATCCCCGGCTGTGCACCAATGGACTTTCTTTATATGTGCGCATTTAACATTTGCTCGAACGGTGAAGCAAAACATCGTGAGGAAACCGACATGTCTTAGACCCAAAAAGTCGACGGCGTGTGTCAGGCACAGGAGGCTGGTCACCTACTTGCCTATTAGATTTAAAAGGTGATCATGAAACACTTTCAGAAATCTGAGGCCAAGTCCTAAAGAGGTTGTAGCGCCGCTGATTTATAATTTTATTTAATAAAAGTGTAATAACTATGGATGTCACCAAAGCATGAGTTATTATCATTTTTTGACCATTCATAAAGGATATTTAAGAATAGTTCACGGTGTTATCAATATGGTACAAAAAAAAGTAGTCCTGATAACACTTTAATTATATTTAAGGAATTATAAAATCCAAAATTTTACGTAAACAAATCGTGCTAGCTAAACAAATCAAGTTGTTATTGCTATATTGTATGTTTATTTTTAAACAAAGTTCTAGAAATAGTTCTTTCCATTTTTTTATGCAGAAGTGTAGAATTTTCTATTGATAATTCATTTATCGAATATTACTTTAATATTTTAGTTTCGAAATACACAACAATTAGTCGAACAACAATTGTACAAGTCGGCATAATTACATTAAACGCGTTAAACGTGTTAAATGTACAAGTTTTTACGATTTATTTGAATTAATTATTTGCCTAATGGACACCTTAACAAACGTAACAAACTAGAGAGTTGTCACTCCAGTACAACATGATACCGTCTTGTAGATGTCTAGTCTCGGCCTTTATAAAATGTACGGTGTTTGTTACGTTTTAAAACAGTCTAACGATCTATGTAGCTTATAAATTTGAATGTATTATTATATGTCATGTTTTGTTAATGGGAACTTTGGTACGGTGAGCGATCATTATAATGAGTTTTAGCACTACAGATATTGAGAGATTCACATTTTGCCGCTCAACTCTTAAATTTCATTTATCACATTTTTTTTTTGAAATGTGCATTAAAGTTCGATTTTAGTATAAGTATGCGAATAAAATAAAATAATTTGCTGGTGCGATGAGTCGGGCGAATATCTCAAGAATGGTGTGCCGCTCCATGCTTCTTAATTGTAAAATTGACAGTTTCAACTTAGGTGTTAATGTCGGATACCCTCAAACATTTATTTGAAAACCGTCCCAGTTTTTAAACCGTAAATGAGGGTAGCTTAGAATATCACTTAGGAGTGTTAGTCTATTTTTCAGTGCCTCCGAGTTTGTGTATTTGTTTTTTTTTGTTTTATAAACGTAAAACGCGGAGATTTCCTAAATCATCGGAGTTACGCCCTGAGTGAATATCCAGACGCAGGAAATCACTTCAGCATTTAGGTACATTACAAAGCATTAAGTTGTTGTAAATCCTTTGTTTAACGCGGGTTGATAATAAATAGTGTACATTATTAAAAACGTCTCCACTGACCCACGAATTGTACAGAACCATTGTATTCAACTTCTCAATCGTTTCGCGTTTTGGAAGTTCGGTACTTTACTATGAGTAAACACAACACACAAATACGTGTTTACGCTACCCGATAAATTACATAAAATTTCAAGTTGGCTTCCCATATGAGATTGATTAATAATTAATCATTTTTAGTAACAAGATTTTTGATAACGTTATCGATAAGCACTCATACGAAGTTAATTTACATTAATATTCATTACAGTATCGGTACGATAAAATGCAATTAACCTTCCGCAGCAGTGCATATAATTTCGGTTTGCATTCGTACAGAAAAAATAACAAGTAAAAACATCTAACATTTTTCTATTAGAATAGTAATTATTGTTATTGCCCGCATTCCCTACATTTTGTGAGGTAAGAAAGTTATAATGAACAAACAAAAACTATCCCAGGGTACCACACCCGCTCGCGCTGGAGATTCCCCCTCTGGGCTTCCTCCACCGGGACGCTCGGCCCCCATGGTGGTGGATGCACAGGCTGCCGGATTTAAATTAAAATTCTAAAAAAATAACAAATACTTATCTTATTTACAGATTAAAAGTCAACAACGAAGATGGCGTCCGAGGTTCTTTATAGGAACTCCACAGTCAATAAGGAGCTATCAGATGTGTTGGTGTCACATTTAAAGGGTGTAGGGCGAATGTTCTACATACATTCCCCTGAAGAAACGTTATATGAAAAACCGGAAGATGTGCCAAACTTCTTTAGACAGGTCATTATTAGACTACCATATTTTATAGATGGTAATGAGCGATAAAGTAAGAATATGTTACGTTGTATCCTAAGGTGCTTAACGATGCTAAGAGCTTTCAACAGCCTGATTCAGGAATTAAATAAAAAAATTATTGCCAGTATAATAAACTTTTATATTCAGTAAATACTATTGATACGATTAATTTGACAACTATAATTTACTATTGATATCCACAAGAGAGCTTTATAAATAAACGGTAATTATTCCACTGTGCCATGTTCTAATTCTATAAAAACTCTTCGGAATTTCTAGTACTAATCGAGAACAAGATAAATAAATTTATTGTCTCTGGTTTTAAGAAGATAAATAAATTAAATTCAGATACAAGCATAATTAAAAATGATTATGAAAGAAGTGTCGCAAAAGTTTTTGCTCAACAAATAATATTCTAAAATGTCGCAACACATGTTTCATTTGACAGCATTTTGTTCAAGGCCTAATTTGCCAATCATAAATGAGCTTACAAACCGTTATTATATGAAACATGTACAAAAGTATCGTGTGCATTATCAATCTTATATCAAAATTAAATGTAATTTACGAATCCCGTTTAGAACTGAATCGTCAATGAGGAAATGGTTGATGCGAAAAGTACCAAAAACTTTTACCAACTTTGTCACAACAATTTATCTATCAATAACTATGTTATTATTATACATCGTCAATCATCCATAAAATTACGGTTTTGCTATTTGCTTTTTTATTTCTGGATACCGTTTCGAAGTTTTGCAATGAGCCTTGAATGATAAATTGATGGAATTAGATTGTTTTCTCCGTCAATCAATCATTAAATCACCTATTCGAAACAAAATATCATGTTTGCAAAAACTACAATTTTTATAATAGGTCTTGGGAGATGTTTTTCTTCATAGGCAAGTAGGTGAGCCATATGTACCTGGCAAACGCAAACGAGTTTTCACGATGTTTTGCCGTCATAGTAGCGAGTGTTTATTGTCAAAGAAAATTTGATTCCAACTGTGTTTAGAACGCACGATCCGGGTAGCTTTAGCCACTAGGCCAACACCACTCAGTGTGAAGTTTTATACCTTGGCATACACCCAGCTAAAGATAATTTAAAAGAATGATTCTAAACTGTCGTTTTTATGTATTTAAGAAACATCATAAAGTTGCATTTCGATCATGTAACCACTTATATAAATTATTAAACGAATACAAAAGCGAATTAATTGCATTTCTTAAGACATTTTGGATGGTTTAATAAAAAAAGCGTTTATAAAAAAAATATAAACATAAATATGTTTTACGCAATTTAGATGGTTGACCAAATAAAACTGACTATTAATTTATTCAGTACCTATCCATAGAGCATCTAAGTTATAAATTGTTATCTTAATAGTCAGTTCAACAACATTTTATTATATCCGTATCGATAAAATCTTGCTAATGCAACATAACGTTAGAATAGAACTATCACATTATAATGGCTGCTGATTGAACTTGTTGCACATTTAAACATTTTAAGTTTTTTTCGTAGCATCTTCCGTCTAAGGGCCGACTGTATTTTCTCTGAAATATGCATCGTCGCGCCTTAGTTAATAAATTAATGGTTTATGAATCTATACCAATCAATTTACGTATAAAAATGGTATATTCTAACAATAAAGCATATGTTGTTTGATTTAATAATTTTTTAATAATTGTACTGAGATTTATTTCATCGCAATTCAAGACTACAATTGAATTGTTAATGGTAATGACTATATTATGTTAAACAAGTGACAGATCATGCTGCACTTCTCATTGGCATAAGTCTCAAATATCGTAGTTTTGACCCCTGTGGTTAGTAATTTTAGACCAGCCCACTTCACACTTCTAAAGTATTGTAATTGCCACTAATAATAACCTAAAAAATTAATAATGCTACTAATGATTTAACACCTTGATCTCAAGTATTAGTGAAGTGCCGTAAGGGGGCATGCACAGATATCTGTCGCTCATGGACTTTTAAAACTGCTAGAAAGAACGCGAATGTATTTCACGTATCCTCTATTTCAAATTCTAGATCATGATTTATTAATTCAACCCTTGTTCGGTTAGGTTAGTAACGTAACAACGTACAAGTGACGTTACCAAGTTACGAAAGCAGTTTCAGAAAACAATTTCATTGTAGTCATACAATTTTTAATAATGCAACAAAATTTCTTATATAACGTTTAAATTACTTTATAAATAAAGTTTTTATCGTGAAATTGGTTATGGAAAAACCACTCCATCCAGTACTTAGCTCACATCCGTTCCCACAACCTTTTAAATACTTTTGCAAATTGTCTGATTAATTCGTAATTAAATTCGATTTGTTTTGTCTACGTTATGAGGCTGATTAATTGGAGGTTATTTTAATAATTTTTAACACACAACGCGTATGAAGGTTCTGTTGAATTTATTTTAATTAAATATTTCTATTTCAGTCATTCCCATACTTCATAATATTTATGATAATTGAACATATAGTGCTAAGATTAGAAGGCAAGAAAGGGATTCGATTAAATGACGGCGTGACAAGTATATCACATGGAATATTTCAAGAATGTGGAAGGTACGAACAAACTCTACTCTCTCATATTTATCGACATTTTTTGATAAACCAAAAAATTGTTTTTTTTTTTTGTTTGTTTGACCATCGATTTTATGCTAGTGGATTTGTATTTTATTCCAATTATAAACGTAGAAATGACCTGTCTTAGACTGAGATCAAGCAATATACTTTAAAAATATCAAAACTATTTTTATTTCCAAGGATGTAGTACATACCGTAAGAAGGCAGTAGGTATAGGTTACTATAGGGACAGACTGGTTTATAACTTTCATACCTATTGTACACTTTTAGTATAACATTTTTTGTACTTAAATAATTTTGTCCCAAATTTCGTTCTAGATTAATATGGCGTGGGGCAGAGTCGTATTTATACACATGGATATACAGTAACTATAGAATGGTGGACCTCCCCTGGGATAATACATTGACGTGGTACGCCGCCGCTTTGGGAGTCGATTTCTGCTATTATTGGATGCACAGAGCTTGTCATGGTAAGAATGGAGAATGAACTAGCTATTTGCTATACTAATATGTAATTCTTTCTCTTTCTGAATTTACCACGCAACTTCAAAGCCGATTCCGACTTTGTATGACATGGTGGGAGTCACAACACACACACACACACACATAGCGCACCTGGCCCCTGGACACATGGCACACCACCACTTTGTGGAACCAGCTGCCCACTGAAGTATTTCCGAACCAATTCGACTTAGGGTCCTTCAAGAAAAGAGCGTACCAATTCTTGAAAGGCCGGTAACGCACTAGCGAGCCCTCTGGCATTGAGAGTGTCCATGGGCGGTGGTATCACTTAACATCAGGTGAGCCTCCTGCCCGTTTGCCCCTGTTCTATAAAAAAAAAAACAACGAAGTTAGTACTATTTGTGGAATTATGCAGTTGCCATTAGATTCAGGGTAACAGCCGAGTCAGTCGTAGCGCTAAGAATTATTCCCGTGTGTCAAACTGGATATACTCGTAATACATGGTTGCCTGGAAGAGTTCGCTCGGAAGCGATAAGGCCGCCAGTTGCCTTTCCTTTAAATGTCATTATGTTCAATTTTTATATTATAATGCAACAAAGTGTAAATAAATAAGAATAAACATGCTTCAAATATCATTCTCAGTCTAATAATTTCCCATTTAAATGCGCTTTAAGTTTTATTTTAATAAAAAGTGATATTATTTCTTATTAATCTCCGAATAATTAATTTACGTACATATGCATATCATAAATTTTCAATAACTATGTAGGTATTGGTCCAGTCATGTTAATTAATATCACAATAAATGATAATTATGCACATGAATAGTAATTATGTTGTTATCACTCGGATATTATGCTTATAAAACAATAGCAATTAATTTTAATATATTATCACAAGCTACTAGCTATATTCGTGGCTTCGCTTACGAAGACGTAATTAGGACAATTTGTTTGAGCGAAAATTTAAATACCAAGTTATGTTACGAAAGATTTATGAAGATGCTAGATGCCAAAGGCTAAACTTTAAATACTAACAAAGTGATATTCCATATATTAAAAGTCCTCTGGTACTTATCAAGCATAGCTAATATTATTATGCATAGAATTTAGCATTTACGCCGGCAACGCACTCGCGAGCCCTCTTCCATTGAGAATATCACTTAACATCAGATGAGCCTCCTGCCCGTTTGCCCCGTTCTATAAAAAAAAGCTAGATATGTGTAACTTTCTTCCGTCCGTCTTTAGTGAGTCAAGACTTGGTTAGTTGCGTTTTAATATAATAAAAAATCACGATGAAAGATGCAATAGGGTCAACAACTTCTTACAAAAAAATAATGCACATATGTAAATACATATATCTGTTTTATATGTACATATATAGATATATACAACAAACAATTATACTATAAATATGCTTTCCCATATAAGAGCCGTTTTTAGCTTTTAGAACTTAAAATTTTGTGTATCTACTACATAAGTAGGTACATTTAAACGAGATTCGATAATTTCATAAAACATTGCAAGTATAATAGATGCAAAGATGGTTGTTGGGCAAGCGAGTTTCTTAAAGATATCAGGCGCAAACTATTATACGCAAACTAATAAATGTTAAGATCTCTAATTTCCAAGCCCAAAAGGGATAATCGGTATTATTAAAAGTTTTAATTGCTTGTCAATACACTTCGTACTTTCTGATAAGGATGTTATTGCCCTATCTCCTTCCTTTGATAAATATATTTCCTCATATCCAGAAATATTGTGCAAGATAATTGACTATAGTGTACATTTCCTCTAATCTAAAAGGAGAATCCTCGACTAGTCTAACCTCAGAATGGCCCGAAGGCCCGAATTTCGAGAAGATGCATATATCCATAGCAATCGTAATAACTTTTTCTAGCGTTTAAGGGTATTTCATACATATTGTAGGTGTCGCTACATAAGATAGTAGCTATACCTTTTAGTTCTATTTTGAAAAGATTTTTAAACTATTACGGCCCTATCCCAGCACGAATTGCTGTGTCAGTGTCTCGGGGTGGACTGCGGGGCGCAGTGGAGAGCTGGAGCACTGAGGCGCGCCGGCCCGTAATAACAATTAGTTGTGTAAAACATTAAATTAATGTAATTTTATCAATTTTTTTTTCTGAAATGGATTACATGGCTTGCGATAAATATATCGTGTCAATTTCAAAATCATGTTCTATATACATTTTCGTCATAAAATGAAATGTCAAAAATTGGCTATGTTTGTATTATTTCTATCAAGCGAAGTTATTTAAATCGTGTATCGGTCTTTCAAAATGTATACATAAACTACTCAACTGCACCATATATTTTTCCCATTCGCCATACTTCAAGAAACGATAACGAAAAATGGAAAGAAACAATGTACTTTTTTGGAGTTTGGCGACCAGATCGGTCCTTAAGCAGTATTTTAGCATTAAAACTCTTGTATCCAATTGAGTAAAGAAAGGCGAGTACCTAATATTAGTAGTAAATAATATTTGTCTGCAGAGGTTCACATACTATGGGCCCAGCATCAAGTGCATCATACATCAGAGGACTTCAATATGGGCGTTGGCATCAGACAGTCGGTGTTGCAAGGATGGTGTGGATTTGTAAGTATTAAGATTTCTGATTACTAATAGTATATTTTCATTCATTTAACGATATATTATTTGATCTTTAAAAAACTATTTATGTATAACCAAGCACAATAATTAAAAGAATGTTATGTATTGCAACATATTGCTTATACATAGAAACTCATAAGTTAAAGTCAAGGGAAACAAAAATATTTTAAGTTATAGAGGTTTTAATATAAGGTATAGACCTTGGTAATATCTAACATAGGTTAGGGATAGGTTAATATGCGTCAAAAAAGATTGGTTCAATAAAATAAAAATTTAAATAATCCTATTTTTTAACAAAATTAAAGGTTTAGTCTACTTAAAAAAGTCTGTGATTTTCTTTTTTTTTAAAAATTCACAGTTTCTAAATAGAGATTTTCAATGACAAATTGAGAAGAGAATACATTTTATGTTGCTACACTGCTCTATAAATGATCTTACAGTTTTAAAAACCGAAAACTTTTGATTTGCACCCTTTTTCAAAATGACTCATTGACAAACAATTTTATGTTATAGAGGTTGTGGAAACATTTCTTTAAGTTACTGAGGGCCAATTCAGAGATTACTTATTTAAGTAACAGAGGTTGGTATTTTAAGTTATGGAGGTTTTTTGGCTCTGATGGGAAGGGAACATATTATTTTTTGAATTATAGAGGTTTTTAAGTTACCGAGGTTTAAGTTATCGAGGTTCTACTTTACAATGAGTTGCAGCCTCCAAATATTTTAATTTAGAAACCCATAAGAATTCAGAATGAAAAAAATAGACATGAAATTGAAGCCAAAATATACTTGTATTTTTTCGTGCAAATTTAATATGACGCAACTAAAAACAAAATGTTCATCAAATAACCTCTTTCATAATATATTTCATGCATATTCAATTGAATTCCAAATTATAAATGATATTCAGTCCAAATAAAAATTAAATGATTGACTTCGATATCGCTTCGTAAATAATATACGCAATTCGTAAATAAATAACGAGTTTCAGCCTTCTTAATTCTTTCTTGTAACAATAAACCAGCACACCAGTAATACCTAAAGCATCAATTTGTTTAACTATTTCTTTAGTAAGCAATATTGAAGTATAAATTAGTCCTAAATAATTTAACACTAATAACATTACATTGAACAATTATTACAATAAGTGAAAACGTTCTTGATTAATAATTCATTAATTACCAACATCTATTGGCTATAAATGCCTCATTATAAGTTCGTTTATAGTAATTACAGGAACATTAAGTATTCGCGAAACGTCCATATCCTTTAATGTTGAAATAATCGGTGGCTCATTATTTTAATATACATTACGACCGTTGAGATGTAGTTTTGTTGAGATTCCAATATTTATTGCTTTAATAAATTCTTTATTTAGGTTCCTTTGTGATCTTTTTATTTCAGATTAGTTGCAATAATGTCAGAACTTATGTTTTAATTGTTAAAATAATGTGCAAGTTCAGATTTATAACGTTTTTTTTTTGTTTTTTAGGCATTTTAGTGGAAAGAATCTCGAATAAATTTTGAAATATTATCGTTTATCGTCACGAATTTTTAAATTTGGGCCGACAATTGTTGTTATATTATTAAGTACTAGTTGTTAATTGTTTTTACAATACAGATAAAAATGAGATTTAAAATTAATTTTTATAATATAGTTTGATGTTAAATTAAATTAAAATTTGTATATTGTGCTAGTATTTCAAATGTATAATATATATTATTCAACGTCTAGACAATGGGAGTTTAAGTTATTAATTACTAAGAATATGTAGCAAATATACAAATTAGGTTAGTCCTGAATTTAAAATAACAGAATTGTTTAGTAAGCTGACTATGATTACTGAAAAGCACTCTAAACATCGAATTATATAAACAAAGAAATAAATTAGTATTTATATATAATTTAATAAAACGGTCTAAGCGTACAGACAACTGAAAGCTAAGCTAAGCTTTAAGTACATTGTAAAGATTAATATTTACTCTTATAAACAGCATACAACCTGAACTATTATTCTATACTATTCGTAACGTAAATAATATTGATTAGAGATATTGCTGTCAGAGTCAACACACAAAAACATTGAATTCTATAAAAAATCTAATTAAACAATATATATACAACTACTTATAGTGAACAATATGTTATTCATTTGCTTTCATGTGATCCGATGTTGTATTAAAAAGTTATACTTCTTTAGGCGCGTTATGAAAAATTTATGAGAGTGAAATTTTACGATGCGCGCGCACCTGTGACACAAAATTAGGAGTGTGATTATAGCGTGCGCGAGCGAGATAGGAATAAGACAATCTACAAGTAAAAAGAAATAGAATATGCGTGAAGTTCGTATGCCAAGAATTTTGAATGACCATAATGACATTTGTCATTTACCTTTTAAACAAATAAAGGAGTTTTAATTATTTTTTCAAAGAAATTTAGCAATGCTTTTTGAATTATATATAATCAGAAGTGATTTAAATTGAATATTTAAACCAATACTAATTAATATTTGTGAAAAAACTGTGCTCATCAACCTTCCTAAGTGCTTCATTACAATTGAGGTTAACTATCAGTTTGTATTATTATTATCGAGTAATGTTTTGATTAAAAAAATTACCACATTGTTTAATCAAAACATGTAATTTTTCTCTAGCAAATATAAGGACAAGAGACAAAAAACAATTGATGAATCAGTGTAAGTGCACTAAATTGAATACAAAAAAAGAGTTGTCATCTTATCGCTGTGAAACATCAAAAACTGGAGGTGGAACAAAGCCAAACTATTTTTAATAATGCCAAAGAAGTATAACTTCTTACGCGCGTACATAAGTACACGCACCCTTTTTTAAAAATATCGTAAAATTTTCTTCTTGCATTGTTGTAAGATTAGTTTTACCAATTTTATGTATTATTGTTTTAATTCCTTGTGTAACAAATAAATATTCTGTAACATTACAGGCGTTCTACTTACCACTCGCCCTAGCGATCCCGCCCGCCCAGTTTGTGATGCACCACCAGTTCAGCTACTTGTACATGTTCTGGATTCACACGGAGGCCATCAAGAGTCTTGGACCCTTAGAGTATATTTTGAATACTCCAAGTCACCACAGGGTACACCATGGTAAGTTATACTTGCTATCCTTACACAAGTTTACACATACGAAAATGCACTGCACATTGCTAAATTGTAAAATTGAACGGTTCGCGATTTAAAAAACTAATGAAAAGAGACGGGTGTCTTGTAGCTGAACCACGAGTCGTAATTTTACGCTTAGGTCTAATTTTGTCTGTTTAAAAATCAATCAATTGCAGTTATAGCAAATGGCTGTTAGAATATTACTATCAACTAAAAAAATTATGGAACTGTACAAAAATAGGATTATTTCGTCGCTGTAAAACATAACAGGAAACGAAAAAAATGTTTCATTTCGTCAATGTTCGTTAAAATATTATTACGCGCTTTTGTCTCCATATTTTTGGATGATAAAAAGGACTTATTTATTAAGAACATAAATAATTCATTCATTAGATTATACCAGTTAAATGACATAAGAATCTAAGAATAAAAAATAAATGTTTTTTTGAAATACGAGGTAATCATTCTACAGTGACGATTTGTGTTATTTTAAGTTTTGTAAAAAAAAAATAGTGGCGCTACAACCTCTTTAGGTCTTGGCCTCAGATTTCTGAATCTGTTTCATGATCATTTAAGTTTTGTATCCATTCATTAAAAAAATACAAAAACTTATTTTACAATTTCGTACCTTTTCTTAAAACCCGTAAATAAATCAATAATTAAAATATATAACAGCCCAATTTTAATTAACACAACTGAGCTTGTATAAAACCTTAACATTTTCAATGTTCAAAAACAAAAGTTTTGTCAAGCGAAATACATCGCGTGGGCGAATTTTAATAACTTTGAGCGGGTCGTGGAATTCTTTTCGTTTATTAGTATAAAGATGTTTCTTTTTAATAAACTCATTTTAAATGTAATTTTATAATTCATAATATTTACCATACCCTATTTAATTATACAGTAATTTAAAAACTAAGGTTTCGTTTCAGTCAATTGTTTTAAGGTTTTGCTGACAGACTTAGAAGATATAGCCTTTTTTTGTAGCACAACAACTTGAGTAATTCAATGATAATAAATGATAAATTTTGAAAATATTATATGTCGGAGTAATGGCGCTAGTATCAGCTGCCATTTTCATTATTTAATAACTTCAAAGTCATATCAGTTAAGATCTCCATTAACAGACTATTTGACAGTCTGTAGTAATTTAATAGTATGTTGAATCAATGGTGTCAGTGTCAGCTGCCGTTGTCATTATTGACAATAATGACAATTAAATGAATAGCGTCAAAGACAATACGAATGTAATCGATAATAATAATGACTCCATAGTCAAGAAGTTATTTAATAATGAAAATGGCAGCTGATACCAGCGCCATTACTCCGACATATACAAACAAACCTAGATTATTGGTTTGTTTGAATATATTATTTTCAAAAAGATTTTCCTTAACTTACAAGGCTTCACAAAGTAATAGGACATTTAACTAAAGAAGAAAATGAAACGCCAATAAGTTGTTTTACCTTGGTTCACTGAATGTTTCTTTTACACTTCAGTGACGATAAACAAATTATAATTGAAATTATTTCGTTTTAATTGAAATGGCAATTATCTATCCTTATCATATATATCTTCATAACTACGATTCTTTCAGGCAGCAACAAGTACTGTTTGGATGTCAACTATGGCGGAGTTCTCATCATTTGGGACAGGTTGTTCGGTACATTTAGACCGGAAACTGACAAAATCGAAATTGTCTACGGTCTCATTTACAACCAGCCATCGTTTAACCCATTCTATTTACAAGTGAGTTAATCACGTGTCACTTATTTGTGGGATGAAGTTAAATCTAAATCGTGAATTTTATGGTGGGACTAATCTGCTTCAAGGGTGACCAAATTCGGGTTTGATGCAGGATACATGTCGTGTCCCACGTTTTTTATGGATCGTAAATGTTAAAGAACGTTCAAAGCGGGGGTTCGAACGCGCGGCGAGCTGCAAAATTTGCACCCTAGTAATTGATCTCAGTTTTGCTATTGAATGAAAGTATTTTCCCTTAAAAGACAAGTTTTATATATTATGAACTCAAAATTATTTCTACAGATTTTCTATACGGGATATGTGATAGAGAAATTCCGTAGCTTTGAAAATTGGGAACACAAGATCAAAGCGATAGTTTGGGGCCCGAGCTGGGAGCCTGGGACAGCGAGACTTGGAGATGACGATTTGAAAGAAGATGTAAGTATATATAAAGAAGGACAAAAATATGCATTTACTGTGTACAACACACACACATTGAAAAAATAACACTAAACGACACAAAACAAAATAGGGTCAACCACAATTGAGTAATTTGCACTGTTAAATCCGAAGCGGCCTTATAAAACGTGCACTAAATGATGTTTAAACAATGGTAACCATGGTAACGAATAAGTTAATAATTTTAGTCCACGTTTTATAATAAGATAAAATAGGTAGATACCGAAACTTCAATGGTAACTTAATCAATTGTTATTGTACTAAATCTAACCTTAATATTAAAGTCAACTATTCACTTCTTCCTGACTATTAACAAACAGCACTGGTACTACTTATGAGTAGAAGTATAAGTAGAGTATAAGTGATAACTTATAAAATAACTTCTGATAGCGATACCGTCGTCCTGTATGGCTTTTCAATGTGGTTCTCTTAATATCCGAAGATGCTTATCTTGCCAAAGCCGCGTACAAATTTTTTAAAGTCTAAATTATCGTCTAAAATTCGTAATATTAGAGCGTTTAACCAATTCAAAATGGCATTAAAGATACATATCAGAATGAGCCTAGTTGACTAAAATTAGGACGGCTGATGGCGACGTGTATCTCGTTCGTATAAAATATTAAGTTTCATGTAAATAAAAATACATTTTTTGTTATGTCAACCTTGGTATAGCTATTGGGGTTTATAGAGTTTCGGCCTAGGTCCAAGACAGATACAGAGTTAAATTCTTAAAAATCAGAGTAGTCTATCAATCAAAACACGTTTATTCAATTTTGATGCGTCTTAGGGCATGCTTATGAATGTCAAAAACGTTTACAAAATTCGCGAAAGAGCAAGACTACGCCATCCATCCTGTTTTTATTTATCCTAAACGAACTTTAAGAAACCTTGACAGGTATATTAAGGTTCTATTTTCAGAATTTCGAACCCTTTCAAATTTGTTCAGTGAATTAAATGTCCAAGAGCCCTAAACGTTAATCTAAGTCAAACCCCTCGTTTATAACCCTTTACAACCAGTGACTGACCGGTGGTTATATAATTTATTTTCATCTTCTACTTTATAGTAATAGTAACACGTAATTTATTTTTGAAAGCTTTTATCAAACAAATCATTCTAAACGTGAATTAAGTTCTGTGGCGAGCGTTCAAGTACTACGTAATGTATTTTGGGCTGGGGGGGGGGTCTTTTTGTAAAGCGTTACGATGCGGGGCGGGGATTGAATTACACGTTATTGTTAATATTATTTTCGGCTTTCCAGTACTTACACCACATAATGGTAACTTTTAGGTATAAAGAGTCACTAGGTGGTCACGAAACGTTTTACTATTGGGTACAGAAAAACGTTACGGCCCGTTACATGGGGGTCAATAATCTCCAAAATTTGCGTGACGTAATACTTGAACGCTTCCTAAGGCACAGGAGGCTAATCACCTACTTGTCTATTAGATTAACAAATGATCATGAAACAGATACAGAAATCTGTAGCCCAGAACTAAAAAGGTTGTAGATCTACTGATATACTTAAATTTAAACATTTGCACAATTTAAACTCAATTTTGTAATTTTTTTTGTGTTTGTTAAATTTTCAGATTCAAAGTAGAGAAAAATACGACGTGACTCTCCCTACGTGGTGCAATGGCTACATCGTAGTACATTATGCTGTTGTTTTCTATGGTTTCTTTGAACTCGCCTCCAGATATATGGTAAGACTCACTTCGGCTATCAAAAAACTATTGGTTAGAGTGTAAATGAATGAAAAACTTTTTTCGCTTGGTACATTCATAAAGTTAAATAAATGTACCTCACTTATCATACAAAATGTTATCTTGACGTTTTTGCTAGAAGTAAAACCTTCTCTAGATTTTTAAAAACATCGTATTCTAGTTCAAATAACTCGCTTTTCCTTAAGGAGTTGAGGAATTTTTTATTTTTTTTAAATTGTGGTCAAGAACGTTTAGACAAAAAAACATCGATTAAACCTGGAATAACCTTTCAAGCGAGAGGAATACTTTCTCAAGGCACCTTTCAAACTAGGTCAAAATTTTAATCTATGAAGAAAGTGTTGTGTACATTTATTTATGAAGACTTTTTAATCATTTCGTGAACCTGACCCTTTGTGACTTCATTAATCCGTAAAATCTAATATCAATTTCAAAGACTACTATTATTACATTTTTATAAGTATGCTACGTTCATGTATTGAAACTAAACGGAAAAACAAGCATCCATCTTTGAATAACTTTTAATAAAAACTGAAAATTTATTGACGTCTGCAGGTACTAAATAAAATTCTCGTAAAATTCAAATGAATTCAATAGTTGAAGATATTATAATATATTAAGAAAATTTATTTTTATGTAATCAGCTCACACGCTTCAATTGTTCAGAACTGGATTTATTTTAGTTTTCTTTTCGAATCCTCACACCATGTAGTAAAACGATTTAAATTAAAGAGCTAAAATATAATATGTTCTTATTATATTTTATATAATCAATACTTATGAAAAAAACACAGTCTATATATAGAAATATTTTTCATAAAAACTACATAATATCGTAATTTAATATCATCCACGACACGCAATTTGGAAATCAAATATTTACAACAATGCCTTTCCATTTGATTTCATCCAACAGCTTTTCAAATAAAACTCATACAGTAACTCTCTAAAGAGTTATTATACGAACCTATGTACGAAGTTTATTAGGTTACTCTGAAAGCAATCAAATGTGTGATTTATTTACTTAAGAAATTTCTGTTGTTGCTAGTAGAAAATCTATAATTGTGCGATACATAAGTGAAAAGCACACAAACTATAATAAATTATTAGAGTTAGCTAAACTATTTTTATTTAATTTTCGTTATATCGGAATGGATGTGATACAGCTTACTAGGGTTTTGATTCCCGCCTAAGCAACGATGACAAGTTCGCACAGTCGGCTACCGTAGACAGCCGGCAGTCGGTAAAATAATCAGAAACATGTCCGCCCCATTGAATTTATATACGTGAACACTTCGTAGAGAAAAAGTGACGAAAGTCTTTACTGTTAGATCCTGGGGTGCGAAATAACCGAATCAAACAATTATATTTGAAATAAAATTACCCATGTGTGAAAATACTATAGTAATTATTTTTGTAATTGTTTCTTAACGTAATACAATCGTAATCCATTAGAATCGCAAGTTATATAATACTCTGAAAACGGAGCTTTGTGCATTTCGACTTGCTTCCCAGTTGTTTTGAGAGAATAGTATGCTCAATATTAATAAAGATAATTTATATTAATTTATCTGAACCAAACTTAGTGCTAAGTATGACGCCTGTAATTAAAATCTGTTATTCACCGGTAGTAATACTATCCGCTAAGTCATGGTTAGATAGACCACTCTTCATACTCTTCGTCTCTTTATGACAAATTTAGTTTATGCTATGTAGAGAGACATGAGTGCTTTAGATAGAACGGTGCAATTGGACAATATTTTTATGAATAAAGGTGTTATTTTATATATTTTACTCCTAAACTAATAGTTGTAAGGAATACTTAGATGCAATCTAAGAAATCGTTTTACAGAGAGTCTATATGATAGAACACAGAAGGTAGTTTAGCGTAATGGTAATTGATGCAAGGATTCCTGCGCCTGCATAAATATTCTTAGCAGATATATCAGGGCGTGCTAATTTCTGTTAAATTATAAAACGCCAAACACGTGCTAAAAAGGGTTTCTGCAACTTCCAATCTAAAAAGTCATTCCAAAAATCAACCCACGACGCACTACAATCTCTCTTATACGCAGACTTTAGAAAATACCGTAGTAACAAATAATTTATACGTTTTATATGCTATGAGCCCCCTAATAGAGACAGATCGTAACTTTGCCCCATTTGAACTTTATTGATAGTAATTTTTCTTTACAGGGCATGACACCGTTCTCAGTTCTGATTTTCGTATTTTACGTGATGGCGTCGCTAACTATTATTGGAATGCTATTCGACAACTCAAAATACGCTCCACTGTTGGAGGTTCTTCGTTGTTCAGCCCTCGCTTTCCTCACGAGAAGCATTTCTTCACCAACTCCTGTCACAACCCTTCTGCAAATATTCTATGTCGCATCAGCTATGTTCTGGTGCCTTAATACCATGAAGCTATTGGAAATTAAGAGAACTAAACTAGAATAAGGGTCCAGTTGATGCACTAAGACTGAAAATGTTTTACTTTTAAGTACCCCACGTGCCAAATGTTTATTATTTGGAAAAGATTTTCTATTTTCATTTTCCATTTTCATCGTGACAGTTTCCACTTGATTTCACCAGTTCAAAATTTAACCAGGAAAAAATTTATAGTTAATACCTAGTCGTAGAACTTAGATATAGTTTTAATATACTGCCAAAAACATAAGCAATACATTAAGTTATCTAAAACTGTTATATTAGATTCTTATTTTGTATACGTGATTTATGTTTTCCTTAAAATTTGTTTAAACCAGAAATATATTTAAAACTATATTTTTTTGTTTGATTTACACAACATATATTATCTTTGTGATTTATTTAGTCTCTGAGCGAATTGATTAATTGTGTGACAGATGACATTTATCTGACACTTGTCATCTTTCCTCCTAAAGCCGGTCTGTGGTTTCCAATCCGAAACAAAACTGGGCCGGTATTCGAATTCTGGAATAATGTGCTTACCAAGGTTTACCAAGTACATGTTTACATTAAATTCCCTACATTATTCATCTCTCTTAATAATACAAAGTTAATATTATGCAATCATATGTAAGCCGTTTGTAAAGATTGATGCCGCTACCATCACTTCATTAAATATTCAAAGACCCTTCATAAAATCCGAAAGACTTGTTGAGATTCTTACATAAATAACAGTTTATGTAAGAATCTATGGATTTATACGATATATTTAGGATAACTAATTAGATTTTTTCATCCATTCTATTGATTTTTATAGGAACTGTGCATACACATCGAATTGTATTTTATGATAAAAAAAGGGTGCGTGTACTTATGTACGCGCGTAAGAAGTTATACTTCTTTGGCATTATTAAAAATAGTTTTTGATTGCATGCAAATAATTAATTACAATTAAATAATCAAAGACTGGAAAAGGAGTCATTATAGTCAATAAAGTTCAGTTTACATTTGAAAAATTAAATAAATAAATGTTTATTATTATTCTCTTACATTAAGTGTAACATAAATTCTCGCATCGTAAAATTTCACTCTCATCAATTTTTCATAACGCGCCTAAAGAAGTATAACTTCAGAAATTATTATAAACTCAAAGAGACGATCACCTATCAAATCATATATCTAGGTATCTGTCATGAGTAGGCTAATGCCTCTAAAAATCTAATAGTGTATTTTTATATTACGTATTGTTTTATAGGAAAGTTAATGGTGTAGTTCGAAAGGAGTCGTCTGAGTGGCGTTAATTTCTTGGCCTTGTCTAAGAATCGCGCCGTGGTTTTAGATTAAGATATATAAATAGTTATCACAAAGTCACTTAGTAAATATAGAAATGTGTAATTGAAATATTTGATGCTTTTAGTGTAACAATATAATAAGGTACGTATTTTTTTATTCTAATTTGCCCCACGTTTAGCAAAGATGTTGATAATGTCATTTCATTCATGGTAAGTGAGAATCTTATCTTAAAAAAAATTTAAGATAAGATTCTCACTTTCGTTTTCAGGTACATAATCAACGGTTTGCTTAACACAAATGATCTTGCTCGGACAAAGAAAATGAAAATATGACGTCTATACTATATAAACGTATTTCGTCATAGTAGTTTCAAAATAACGAAAAAATGAACTAGTTCTGTAGAAGTCTTTCTTTTTGAAATTCATAACACATATTATACAGAAAATTTATAAAACTTGAATCTTTCTCCATATTTTAAATAAACCTCAAGTTGAAAATACAGAGCTTTATTTTAAAAGTTCTTTCATGAATATCAAACGCTGAGAAAGTGGTCGAATTATTCATATTTTGTACAGAAAAATTGAAGGTTATTTAAAGTAAGGTAAAATGCTCAATTGTCTAAAATAATATTAAAATTATACAAACTGATATCGAAACTTATTAGTACTTGTAAAAATAAAGCATATTCGTTTACAGAAAAATCTACACAATTTAACACAAATATGTCCATCGACCAGTTCTATAAGTGACCCTCAAATAGGAGTAAATTGGGCTCTTTGTAATTTCCCTTTCATGAAAACAGTAGCGACTCATTCAGTCCGGCTGAAGCTTTTGAACCTTTCACCCGCGTTGGCGTTACAACGGATACTAACGAATCTAACGAATATTCAAACCGCTATATTGTTCGTGAAGTGTTTTTGTGTCGATTGTTTGGAATGGGTTTGATATTATGACTTTTTAGGTGAGTTATTATATAGAAACCTCTTTGACCCTTAACAAGATTTATAAATAATAAAGTAAATATATGAAATAAATTCTTAATAATTTTCCTAAATATGGTTTGTGCAATGGTAGTCTAATCTGTTCTATGATTGCATTAAAAATATATGTAAAAGTTACATCTTCCAGAAGAAGCGTTAGTCTGTTTTTTTTAATAATTATCTAAGTAAATCAAGACAACGCGAAAGTATTGTTTTAATAAAATATAACACGCAAATTAATTATTATTATTATTATTTTTCGTAATTATTATCCCCTACGCACAACTGCATTTGATATGAAGCCAGGCATAAATGTAAATATACCTATTTGATTCCAGCAGATCAAATTTAATTGATATATTGCAATTAGTGACGAGTGATGGCGTAGCGGCTTGAGCATCCGAGTCTCATCTCTGAGGTCTTAGGTTTGTAGGTTAGGTTAAAAGACATTTATTCTTATAACAGACTATAGTCACTTATATACTAAAGATACAACTTATCACGTCGTGGGTCATTGAAGAGCTTTAAGGATGAATTAGCGAAGTAGAACTTGGGTGGACTTTCATTTACGTAGGTAAATGGGATAACTCAAGAGATGGTCTTTTAGTCTTAATTTAAATATTGCCAGGCTGTCTGCACTTTTTATATTTTGTCGAAGTCTATTCTACCGCAGCACTCCCCCAACGCGCAATGTTTAGGCAACGCTTAGGTTTGAATCCCGGCTGTGCACCAATCGACTTTCTGTCTATGTGCGCATTTATCACTCGCTCGTATAGTGAAGGAAAACATCGAGAAGAGACCGGGTTACCTCAGACCCAAAACGCCGACAGTTGGGCTCACAACGCCGATCACCTGACAGATACAGAAACCTCCAGACTAATAAGTTACACAAATTCAACCCTTTACCTAGCTTAGTATAAACAAAATGAACGTGAGAGAATTGAAGAAGTAAAGAGAACTGTTTATTGTGTATGCTTGCTACTTTGAAAATATTTATCGTGGGGTAACGGCGACCTCAAAGTAATTATTGATAATATAAATTCATTAATTATTAACACACATAGATTAAGTATCCATCATGAGTCGTAAGAGGTTTTCCTAGTTAAAAATGTATGAAGCTAGAAACAGATTCCAACATTGGTATTGCATACATTGAAACACAATCCAATCTACCTGAGAAAATCGAATGCAATTATTTTGTTGCAGTGTACAAAAGCCAAATTGCTCGTTCAGTTTTGTGTAATGACTTTTAGGCGTTGAACTGAACTGTATTTGTCATTGGAATTTAAACAAGATGAGCTTGAAGACTGATTTCCGTGGTTTTGTCTTTGTAGACAAAACACACTACTAGTATACTGTAAACAGCTAAGTCTTTCCCGTGTACAATTTTCTCGACACTTGTAAATATAGATGCGTAAAGTAATTTTATACATTAATTGATACAAAAATCAGTAAAACTGTTAAAGCTTGTATTGTGACCATTGATAGCATTTTAATCTTTGTAAGCTAAAATAATCGGAATCTTAAAAAACGCAAATATAATATTTTTTTAAGCTATAAACGATATCGAATATTTACAATTAATCTCTTGAATAGAAAAACATATATATCTATTCCTTATTCACAAAAAAAGTGTTTTATATCTTGTCCCTGAGACATAAAGCATACCGATTTCTACGTCTGTTTCACTGGCGTCAAGACATGCCGGTTGATGAAAGACGTGCCATGACATTACGTTTTATTGGACATTATTTAAAGATTTTTTTCAGGATAGATTCGGGCGCGATAAAAGTTCCAAAGTGCTCATAAATGTAAATCTAATTACATTATTCAAACTAAATAATTAATTCGTCTCATACTGTAATAATGTTTATGGTGTGATAAAATTCAGCAAAGGTTTAAAATGTAATTAAACTGATCTGGTTTTTACGTGTTAATGGTTAGTGCATATAGTCAACTGACTTTATTATATTTTTGAAGTGAAAACTTCTTTAGCGGCGTTGTACACTTTTTTGGAATGGGTAAAAAATGTTAAACTCGCGTCAGGACACGTGACATGATCAAAAATTCGTACGATAGCGCACTTAATAAATATTGTATTCTACCACATAAATGATAGTACTTTTATACTGATAATTAAAGCAATTCGTGCAAAATTATTCCCTAAACATACCAAAATATCAAAAATGCACAACGTTAATATTCAAGTTTTCACTTTTGCCGGCACTTCCGGAGTGCAACCCGTCGTTCTATTATTATTACCAGTGGCGCTACAACCTCTTAGTTGTGGGCCTCAGATTTCTATAAATGTTTCGTTATCATTTGATATTCTAATAGGCAAGTAGGTGATCAGCCTTTTATGCTCGTCACACGCCGTCGAATTTTGGCATGCGCTAGTGTTATGTGCGCACATAGACTAGTCCATTGGTGCACAGCCAGGGTTCGAACCAACGACCACAGGGATGAGAATTGCACGCTGAAGGCACTAGGCCAACACTGCTCTACATATACATCAACATTGTGAAAAACTACAGCTTGAAAAACACAAAAACAAACTAGGAACGAAGTTGTTTAAAAGAACACAACATACGGAAACAAAATATAATTATTGTGTGTAATTATTAAAACTCTCCCTAGCAATACAGTTATTGGATACTGTGGGTATCCGCAATCTGTTAAGGCAGTATAAATTCATTTTTACAAATTGTCTTACTTAAATACAGGCTATATTTTATTTTCCCATAAATGACGGTCACT